TTTGTTTCTGCTGGCACAGCACTTGATCAATATAATTCTCATCAATCAGTTAAAGAACTTTCCAAAAGGGGAAAAAAAGTTTTTGCACTCTGCAGACGTCACAAAAACTTTTTAAAAAGGCATGAATAGCCTTGGGGGAGGGGCTTGCAGAGTGCTCCTGGGCCCATTTTTTGTCAAACAAATTACATGTAAAGCCTTATGGAGGCTTATAGAGTGCTATTGGGGCTGGTGGGCAAAATACAGCCCATTTTTTGCTCATTCCTTCCCTCCCCAGCCCCCAGGACCTCTCGGAAAGCCTCCATAAGGGTATGCACATCCATTTTGGTGAAGGGGTGGGGCTTCAGGAGGCAAAAAATTCTGTATTCAATGTATAAGATGCACCCAGATTTTCAGCCTCTTTTTTGAGGAAAAAAGGTGCATCTTACACTCCAAAAAATATGGTAGTTAAAAAGGGTACAAGAAAATAAAATGCATTCATGATCACTAATATTAAATATGTCTTATAATATGAAAACCTTTCTCATGAAGTGCCATAATGTTAACTACTACTGTTTCTGCATAAATATCTGTGTTAGAAAAAGTACTTTTAAATGTTCGTACTAATCAAAATCATGTCTAAAAATGACCTACATAAGGGAAACCACTTGGGCACCTTCTTGCAATTAATTAAAATTAATTTAAGACTGAAAGAACAAGAAACATAGTGAAACTAATATATTTGTCAATCTCTGGACTACCTACTCATTCACATGAATAATAGCCTTCCCATTAATTATGTTACAAAATTCCACTGTTATTGAATTTTAATTTTGATATAATATATGTCGATCTATCACTAATACATCATTCAAGAGCATCCTCAGCCTTAAGCACAGTAATAAAGATTACAGAGTTACAAATAAGATATAGTTCATAATAGTGGCTGAAGCAGGCAAGTTAATAGTTTTTAAAAAATGTACATTTCCACAAATGATTTTAATGGGATGAACTTTTCAACATTATAAAATATCACTTTACTGTACATGGGGCTACCTTTGAATTCAGAAGGTACAAAATTGTAATCATTTGATAATCATTTCAGTTGGTAATCCAGGTTACTAGTAGGTGGGAGCTGTTAGGTTGTTGTTGCATGTGCTCTTTGGATGCTACATTGAGTGCTAATAAGCTTTTCACCCTCACCTCCCTACTGCTTGATTCCAATAGACTGTAAGGATTCTTTTCTTCTGATGGAGTGCGTGTGTGTGTGTGTGTGTGTGTGTGTGTGTGTATAGAGGAATTAGGACCCATGCCTCTGTGAATACCAAGAAGCATGGTCCCAGAGGCAGTCTTTCTCTGTGGTGTTTTGGAGTTCCATTTCACATTCCCCTATTAGCTTTTCACAAGTATTAAAACAGCATTAAGTGGATACTTAGGGTTTGGATGGCCGAC